GGAAACAAAAAATGTATTTTCTAGTCTCAGTGACAGGAACTAAATTAGAGCTCAGAAGCCAAACACCTTTGCTGGAAATAGTCTGATACCTGCTGATGCCAGTAATTGCAGCTAGTCTGCTAAAATAAGCCAAAATGATCATTGTCACTGGCAGTCTGCTTTGAGATAGCAGCTATTGCGAGCAAAGGGCTTGATACCGAGGCAGCATGTGCTGATATCACAAGATGACATGCTCAATTTCTCTGGTGGCTTCAAGCACATATCAGACACCTGGCATGCCTTCCCCATGCTGCATCTGCAGGAAACTATTTCCTTGCTTTCTGTCTGTGATGGACTTCTTTGTGGGTTTGGGCCATACTCTACATTATTTGGCTGTACAACAGTTTGGATACCAGTGTTTTATTCAAAAAAATGGTTCTTTGCCAGATCTTTCACTTTAATTGTACACAATTTATTTTAGTGCAGAAAAACAGAAGGTTGAGCTGCTTTGAGCTGGAAATGTTGATAAAAATCTGGAAGTCTTTTACCTCATTACAAAGGTCTTTGGAGACATTTTATTCTTATCTTCAGTTTAACAGTTCAGACTTTGGATGGTATGTGCACTTAAAAATGAATACCTTTGGAATAATACAGAAAGTGATGAGAGTTTTGGAGACAATGAATGCATTCTAGCTCTGTAATAATTTCAGTTTGCTCAAGGAAAAAAGGCTAATACAGGCAATACTTGGATTTTTCCATCAGTGTGTCTCATGCTGCAGCATGCCAAAAGGAAAAGAAGAGCCCACGCACAATGCACCAGATGTGCACAACTGTGTGTACAGAGAATAAATCTTCAAGACAGGCTGCAGTAATGTATTTTTCTTCACCCCTTACAATGTGCTTGAGAAGTGTGCCTTCTAGGCAGAACTCTGAGAAGGATGAATATATGTGATCCTCAGTCTGAAATGCCTGTGTGCCTGTGCTCACCCTCTGTGAGCTCCTCAGCTGTGCCCACGCTCAGTCCTGGAGGTGACACTGCTGCCTATCTGCAGGGCACTCTGCTGCTTCTTCCTCCAGAGAACATCCCCTTCTCATGCTATTCATGGGACTTCTAAACAATGTAATTTGCTACTACACAGCTGCTTAGTTGCAAATAACCTAGTGTTACATAGTTCTGATAATCTTTATTCTTTGTGTGAGGAGGGAAAGGAGGCTTTACAAACACTGCTGTTGTGAGGGTTCACTCGTCATTGAGGTACCCCAGCTTTATCACTTACAACTATTAGGAGCTGAAACCATGCTCTGGTGGCAGTCAGTAAGATCAGAATAAGACCAGAATAAATACCTGTTGCTTTATCCTCTGATTTATTGCTTAATAGCATGATAATATATTTTTAAAATTTATTCTAGAAATTATTGTCTGCCTAGACATTACTTTATGTTAGCTTTTTTTTTGGAAAACAGTGCACAGTGAGGAATTTATTCTGGAAGAAATTTATTAAATATTGATAGAATGCAAGTGGCACCTTTATACTGACTGCCTTTCATTATTCAAGACAGGAATGCTGCATTGTGTTGGCGTGTTTTAAAAGAAAAAAGAGGAATTTTTTTACATGCCTGTTTTTAAATGTTTAACATGGAATTTAACTAGTGGTTCATATGGCATTAACTACTTTGAAATATATACTGTTACTCAATATGTATTTGTCCTTTCTGATGTTAAAAGCTATGAATATATAAAGCAATCAAGATGAATCCTACTTATTGCTCACTTTCTCACGTGCAAATCCATAGACCTCAAGATTTACTATGAACAGCTGACAGCAGGTAAAAATAACTCTTAGTTAGAATTGTATGTGCTTAAAACTGTACCTGCCTGCAAAACTTCTGTAAAACTTCATGCTGAATCTTGTGATTCCACAAAGATATTTTTCAATAATGAGACAGAAGATGAAATGCCTGAAAAGAATCAGCTCTTGTTGACACATGCATTAAAATGGTAAAAGCCCCTAGTCTTAAGCCTTCAAGTTCAGTAAAGTTTTGAAAAATTTACCTAGAAGTGGGAATCCTAGATATTTATAAATAAAGTGGTGACATTTTTAACATTTTTTGTGAAATGTTACCTTCATGTAGAAAGAAGCCATTTTGTGCCCTGATTCTATTCACCTCTCTGCCCTTATTTGTGGTTCAGTTCACGGGGAACCAACAACCCGTGATAGCTCTGCAGGCCATGTTTTTTCTTCATGTAGTCCCTACTCAGCCACAACTTTGCTGCAGTTTGGTTACATATTCATTTTGACAGATGCACTTCAAAGTTTTGTTCAAATTTCAGTGACAAAAAACCTCCTCATCCAAATTACAGCTCATTATTAGTGACTGTTTATGTTATCTCAGGGCTTGCTAGACCAAGAAACTGCAAGCACTACACTGAGCATTAATGAGTGTATAATCTTATGCAGAATAAGGCCTGGTAGTTTTGGCTATAGTGTTGCCTATAAGTCAAAACACATCAAAGTAAGCTTACAATAAAGTGGCCTCAGCCTTTAAAACTGCTTTTATATATGATTAGGATAATTTACATCACAGGATTATATACCCTGTTTGGGAAAGATTTGTAGACAGAGCTGGAGGCAGTGGAGGGACTGTGCCAGAGGATGCTTAGATGAGTTGGCCTGAGTGCCAGTTCTTGTTTGTCTCTGGTAAAAGCTTGCCCTTTTTTGGATCACAGCCTTGTCCAAGTGTCTGGGCAGAGGGGTGGATAAGCTGTGTGTGTGGTGGTTTGCTTGTAACCTTCTTCCACTTACACTGCTATAACCATGTTAGGCCATGCTGACATCAAACGCTTTTGATGAAATGAAATTTGTATAGATGGTAGATTTAATTCCTGACAAATAAATGAGATTTTTATGCATATAGGGCATATGAAATGCATAAAAATGCATTTCAATCACTAAAAATCTCTGACAATATGGTTTAGAAAACTCACGTGTGCCAGCCAGAGGAAAGTGAATTTTGTATTAATTTTCAGAGAAAACATGATAAGATGGAAATGGAAATCTGCAGTGGCCAGCCAGATTCCAGAGGCATTGCATTTTCTTGCCCTTTAGGAAATGTGTGGGAGAGAAGCATTTTCATGGATCTTACAGCACAGCACTTGGCACTTGTAATAATGATGAAATGGTTATAGGTACACCAGCATTTAATGGAGCAACTCTTCACCAGCTCTGCTTCTGTATTTGAAGAATTCAGTGGTATCAGGGGAATCCTGGCTGCCTTAAGCCCAGAGAAACTTTTTCCTGGGTCCTCTGTACTAGAAGGCTTAAACTAGCAAGGAGTGATAAGGCCTTGCCTTCTTGAGCTTCTTAAGGTTTCATGGTTGCAGAGGCAAAGTGACTTACAGCTCTCCTACAGCCTTTAAACCTTTTTATGCATATAAAATTTGGAGTGCTGAAGTGCTAAATTGGCTGAGCTCTAAGCCAGTTTACCTCTACATGCATAATAGTTTAAGCAGTTGAACCCAGTCAGAGGTTCCTGTTGAGGACAAAGCGCCTGCAAAACTTCTGTGGCTGGTAGATTTCCTGTGCTTTGCTTCACATCTTGCTGGCCAGAACCTGTAGCCTGACATAAATGCAAAGACATTGTGACTTCACCAGGAGAGATAAATCTGCTGGTTTGAAGGCTATTGTATGTTGAATTTGTTTTAGAACCCACTTCTTGAGATATCTGCTATCTATTGTATCAGCGTGGCTATGTAGATAATTTTGTGAGCCAGGGGACAGAGCTCCCCACAATTTTCTCTTTAAAGGTATGGCAATATTGAGCTTGCTGTGACTTGAAAAAGATGTGCTTTAAACAACTGGAGCTATGGAATAAATTCTTTCTTTTAGTTACCTCAATATTTATTCACTCAGGAATTAATATAGGGCAGCTTGGTAGCCAGAAGTGCAGAAGGGGGAAGATGGGCTTCCCGAGCAGCAGAATGAACACTGAACAAGAGATTTGGAAGCAAAAGATAATATTTCTAAGCTTATTACCACCACCTTCATGATCAACAAGAGTAACTATGCAGCTAAGGCCCAGCTAACAACCCTTTCACATGCAGAGTCACTGTGTCTGATGGCACTGGCAGTGCAGCAGCTGTAGAATAGATTAGTCCAAGTGAGGGGCTTTGCTTGTTTGTGTGTTTTGTTTGTTTTTTTAGTTTACAGATAGTGAAGTTAAGTAATGAAATGCTAGGTTTGTACAGGTACTTTTCTGACAATGATAATAAAAATGCTCAGGTTTCTCCATATGAAAAGCCATCAAGAGATCCAGGAAAAACTAAGAAAGCAAGAAGAGTCACAAGTTTTTTTTGTTTTGTTTGTTTTTTTTTTTTTGTTTGTTTGTTTTTTTTGCAAGCAAGGAATAGTGGGTCTGCAGCTGCTTTTTAAGGTGTGTTCTGCTGAATTATGAAACAAGATGAAGCTTATTAGTTTTCAGACATAAAACTGCATTGTATGGTTGACTATTCTTTGTTGCTATTCTTTCAGTTTTCACATTCAAAATCATGCATGAACTAATTCTTAGGACTGAAATATATACTATGGCATTCCCATAGTATATATTTCACAGGCATTTGGTCCTTGAGATCACAAACTCAACCAGGCTGCCACCAATCCTTTCTCCTTTAATGAGCTCATCCATTAGCACTGGATAATTCAACATGCAATATGAATTTATTAAAAATTCATGAAGAAAGTTCAGAATTCAGGTTTAGTTCTGTGTTTTTGGTACAGTTGACTAATATTTCTAAAAAGCTAAGCCTGTGTCCAGTGTTCTTCAGGGATCTATTATACAAACAGGAAATGTGCATGCCTATAAGTGCTATAAATCAACACTTCCATGCACTGCTAAAATATTCAGCTCCTTTAGACAGGGAATTTCAAAGGACAAGCAGGAGGCCTGTGATGCTCTTGTGGAGCTCCAGGGGTACCACTACCAGATTTTCAGACCACATGCAAGTCGTACATGGTCCCACTCACCCACTTTCCAACACCTTGGGCACAGAATTTTATTGCTATTAGTATTCATAGCAATAGTTTTGCACCACTTCATTTCAAGTACAGGTGCTATTCTCAGCTTGTCAAAATACCTGTAAAATAAATGAAACAGAATGAGGGAGATTTTTAACACAGCTCGACTTCTTAAGTGTGGTTAAAATATTCTTCAGATAAAAATGGTGCAAATAAGCAAATGGCATTTCAATTAAAAAATACAGTTGCTCTTTTAATTGTGCTAATTTATTTCTAGCTAATATTGAGAGAAGACATGATTAATGCCTTCATTATGAGTTTATTGTTAATAAATGAGGAATCCTTCTCAATTTATTAGCAAATAATGGATATTGTTGGAAAAAGGGAGAGACAAATGCCAGCATCTCAGAAAAAATATTAATGAGAATCATGATTCTGCAAGGCTCTATTTTTACTGTATGATTCTTTTGCCCTTACTGAAAAATTTAAGAATTGCTTCAATTTTTAATACAATAGTTACAGAAGATGATATCTTATTTACTTTAATTCCTTATTTAGTTAGGTAAAATGTTCAAGATTATTATATTTCAATATTATTACATATTATTTGATTTCTGTGAAACATGGATGAAAGGACATGGACAAAATTTCCTAAATGTCAGGGAAAATAACACCTTCTCAACCAGTAACCTGAATTTGTTACTCCTGAGTGTGAGTAAAAAATAAAGCAAAAGCTTAAATATTTAAGAATTTTAGAATATATTCTGTATCAAAACATTTTTTAAGCTATAAATAATGCTGGATAAATTTGTTCCTTGCAATTAAATGTGATTTTTTTTACTATAAAATTATAAATATACCCAAAGAAAAGGCTGTAACTCCTTAGTGTAGAGCCAAAAGAAAATCAAATGAGTAGGTGTTGTAACAAAGAATAGGATTAATTTCTCCTTATTAAAAAATCAGACAGCAGACATACCAGATCTTTAAAAATCAGATACTCTTAAATTCCTCATCTCCTTGGCACACAAATGCCAACAGAGCTGCAAATGGGGCAAGCATCTGACCTCTGTAATTTCTATAATGTGACAGAGCAGGGACTTCAGAATCCCTGTTGAGATGGTGTTTCCAAAAGTGATGTCAAAGTAATCTTCTACCCTGCCCCTTAATGCAGTTAATATGATACTGAAACTCTGCTGTAATCCAAGTCACTAATTGTTCATCCTCTTCTATGCCAGACTGTTTTGACAGTGAATTCCTAGATAAGATACAAAAATCTAGCCTTCACTGGCAGAGAGAAATATAATATGAATTAAAATTTGTTAATACCTCTGTGACAGTTTCAGGACTGCTCTTTAGATGATTTACCTTTAAATGAGGTATAAAACTGTCTTCATTTAGATAAAGCTTAGTTACTATTATCTCTCCTTGCCAATTGGGATTCACTAATATCTCTTGTCTTTGTATGGAAGATGTTAGCAGTATAGGATGGAGCAAAGCAAGGCTTGCTGCTATCTTCATGGGATGAATTTATTTTTCTAGCTGATTTAGACTACAGTCTCAAACGCACTGGTCACTCTCTCAGACACATGGTCCTTGTTAAAAAAGAGCATAAGGATGAATCTATATATAAAATGCTATGCTTTTATTTTCCCTCCAGAAAAATATTCATAATTAAGAACCGTTGTTGCTTAACATGATATGATAGCATTTTCCAAGGTCTTCCACATTGCCAAAATAACACTGAAAGAATTAACACTTGTTTCTCAACAAATTATAAGCCCCAATCCTTTTACTCGTTGGGAAGATAAAACTTAATTATCAGGGTATTTTCCAGATAATTCTATGTTCCAATCTCATTTAAAGAGGGTAACAATTGTTATGGCCTTACAGTTAATTTAAATAATGAAAAAAGCAGCTGTAGTTTAAATGAAATTGTTTCTAGAAAAAACAAAATGAAGTATTGCATTCTATCGATTTCAGAAACTATTTTGAATATTCTGATTTCCAAATGGACATCAAGAACTGGTGTGCAAAGAAGAAATAAAAATGGGTCAGAGTGAGATAAACTTTGGATAAACAAAATTAATATGGACTCTGGGCCAAAGAAGTTGAAATAAAAAGTAGACAGCGATTACACACAATTGGAGACAGCAGTTAATACTAAAACTCTATCAAAAAAGAAAAGCTAAATTAGGATTATCACAGGGCAGAATTTACAGAGCTGCTCCAGAGCATCATTGTTGTGAAAAATGGCATTAAAACAAAATATCTTCAATGGATGTATGTCCTTTATCCTCTCTCTGCACACAAGATGTGAATGCTTAAATGTGAGTGCTCCTGCCTTCTTGCAATTCAGCCAGATCCCTGGGCTGTCCCTTCCCTCTGCAGCCTCCTCTGCTCTCTAGTCACAATTTGGGAAAAGCCCTGAGGATGTCAGTGCTTCCAGGTTGTAACTGTGCTGCTCAGCTTTGTGTATTTGCTGGCTAGTGTGTATTTGCTAAGCTGCCACCAGAGCAAAGAAAATAGATAATTGTTGAAATTGGGTGGCAAAATTTGTGTTAGATGAGGCACCAATTTGTGCTGCTCTCTCTATTCAACTGTCTGTGCTCATGACAGTATTTCCTTTGAGACTGTGCTCTGGCAGATTTGTTGGAACTGGCTAATGACTTCAGCAGCTAAAGGGAAAAGATACTGAGAGGCTTACAGAGAAAAGGGCAGGCATGCAGTATTTTCACTCCTTGAGAAGCTGAGGGGAAAGAATAAAACCATTTAAAAGAAATTTTTATATTCAGCATATGATTTACTGATTTTTTAATATCTTGAGGATAGTGATGGGGCAAAGCTTCAAGTATTCAGGAAACAGATCCAGAAGTAAGTTTTTCCTGTTCTCATCTGTGCCATTAGAAAAGAAAGTTTAGTGTGTGAGACCCCAGCTGAGCAGACAAAAACCTGCACACCAGGGTAAAGTCCCTTAGAGCAGAAAACAGTACATAGCAGTACATAAGAGCTATACTGCACCAGACAGGCTGAGGACACTGGAGAAAGAGAAGAGAGGGAGAGGAGGAAGAATTTACACAGAGCAAACTACAGATTACTGTAATACATGGTAACACTTTCATCTTACCAAATAGTTTCATAATAAAGCCACCAAGTACAGTACAGCAGTGGTCACATTCCCCCAGGTCCTGATTTCACCTGGCACAGAGTTCATTTCCTCAGTAGCTAGTGCAGTGCTGTGTTTGGAATTCAGTAAAAGGACAATATTGATAACACATTGAAATTTTAGTTGTTGATGAGCAGTGCTTACATTTAATTAGGCACTTTTCAGGGTGTCATGCTCTGTTTGTGAGCAGGTGCACAGAAAGCCAGGAGGGAACATGGCCAGGACAAGTGACCCAAATTATCCCAAAGGATGCTCCATACCATAGCAAGTAATTCCCAGTATTTCACCTGGGGGGAATTGGCTGGGAGGGGCCAATTGCTGCCTGGGGATGGGCTGAGCAGATGTGAGTGTGAGGATAGCAATTGTATTGTGCCTCACTTATTTCTTGTGGGTTTTTTTCCTCTCTTTCTCCTTTTGATTGCAATTATTATTGCTATGGTTATTATGCTTTTATTTTAGTTTATGTCCATTATTAAACTGTTCTTATCTCAACCCAGAGGTTTAATATTTTTTCGTTTACAGTTCTCCTCCCCATCCTATTGCGGCAAGGGGAAGGACTAAGCAAGTAGCTGTGTGGTGCTTAGTTTCCTGCTGTGTTTAAACCACACACTTTCAATTCCATAAAGTCTCTATTATTTGCCCAGGAAAATTTGTCTCCAATACATCACACCCTTTGTTAGCTTCCCACTAGACCACTGCTGTCTAAAGGGGGAATGCCACCAAGACTCAGGGGGGCACCTAAGCTCATGAGGTAATTCATGTAGCCTTACTTAGAGCATTAAGCATTAAGGCTTTTTCCAGTCTCTCCCAACAGACTGGAGCATGTCATGTTTAGTGCCCTTTCCCCAAGTGAGCTCTCCCATCCTGGAGAAAAAGCATAATGGCCCTGAACAAAGGGATTAAAAAACTGCTGAACATCAGCTAGCAATTTCTGTGACAGAATTACATTTACCACACGGTAGAGTATCTTCTCAACTTAAGGGTAGGAAGATTGGTGAAAACATTTTTTGGTGTGTGGGTGTGTGTGTGCCCACACAACGGCTGACATTTCCCATTCATTCTGCTTCAGTATATGCTGTTTGGATTCCCATGTATGAATATCATCCTCTGTGAACCTAAACACTGTCATTGTTCTTTTTAGGATTGTGTATGAAGTTTGAATGTCTCGATAGTTTTATCCAACTTTTCAAAATTTTACCCTTTTATCTGCAACTGTAAAATACTTTGAGAAACATCTTTGGTGCACTTGAATTAGAGGAAAGGTTCAGTTTCACAGCTCTGGTTTAATCCAAGCTGTTGCACACTTGCCAGTAGCAGCGTTTGAAAGTCACATAGTTTAACTTTCGAAGACCAATCATAGATTTACTTAAGCTGTCTAGACAGTTGTTGTGTTTTGTACTCCAGCTTTCCAAAATAGGTGTCTAAATGGTGCTTTCCTTTTGCCTCTGACTAGCAAGGGAGAATAGTTGAGACCAGATCAATAATTTAAAAGACTTGAAGAGGCCATGACTGCTTGCAAAAATGAAAATAAGGCATCTCATAAGACGGATGGACTATTGCTTCTCAGGCCTTAAATCCAGTGCATTTCGTTTCCTGTGCTGATATTTCCAGCCCATTTTAGCAGCTATCCTCTCCCTGGTACTCTGTTTCTCTTTGGTAACTGAGAATTCAACGTATCAATTTTCCTGTTATAACAGGACCATGTTGAAAAATAAATAAAAACAATATATAAACTGAAAAGAAACTGTGAACAAGACAGAAAAAAAATACTAGTCCTAGATTTTTTTTTTACAGAAGTAAATACTCCCCCAGAGTCTGAAATATGATACAAAATAAAAAGGATCTTTTAATCTGGAGGATAAGGCTGTGCTTTGTGCAGAGGAGTGAGAATTTATAGCAGTTTGTTTTGTGGTAAGTGATAGGGCAGAGCAGTGAAAAAGAGATCCCTGTTG